ATGACTACACCCTGGAGAGCAGGGTCAAGGTAAGCTCAGCTTTATGTCCCTGGTGCTTGACATGGAAGAGGCAAAATGCTTCCAAAAGCACTTGTTCCATTACTGAATATTCATGTGATAGATGGTTATACAGCCTTTAATACTATGCTTTCCAAGATAGTTTAATAATATAAAAATACATTTACATTTTGCCAATAGAAAAGTGTACAAAGCCATATATACCATGATTCTAATTCTATACTTATAAAGGTATATATTTTTTATAATTATATGTATATATACATATATATGAATGTATACAGAGAAAAAAGGACTAGAAGGAACTGTACCAAAATCCTATCTGATTTTCAGTTGTAGAATTATAGGCTATTTTTAATAAATATTTTTCTCTAGATTCTCTATCGTAAACATACACTACTGTTAGAAGAAAAAAATACAATTTTTAAATGAGTTGCAAACACGAACCATCTTATGATGACAGGGACAGCTCTAAGCCAGTTAGAATAAAATTTGGTAAAATCAAGTGCTGATGATAATAAGCGTGTGGTGCTCTGATAAGTGGAAAAATAACATGAAAGCATATATTTTGGTTAATATTCACAGTGGCCTTCTTTTCATAGTTTCTTCAGTAGCACAGGAGATACTTAAACCAGGCTGTCTTTTAGAAGATTGAAAGTAATATATTTTTAAATTAAGGGCTATTGAGATTAGAAAGATATAGGATTAGACATAAAACTCATAAAGTTGTCCAGCGAGTGTTTCCTTCTAGCACCCCCAGCCCCCAGAATGATCTATAGGAAAGTTGAGATTACTTACAGCATTGGAACACATCTTTGCTCTAGATAATGTGGTATAGCTTTAAATAGTAGATCAGATAAATGATTAAAATGGGAGACTAGCGTTAATAGTTAAAAAAGGGTAATGTAGCATTTTCTTTCTTATCTAAGGCTGTGGCATTAAATGCCACATTAACAAACCTTCTGTGGGGAGGTTCCTTGCAAGATGATGACACCTACCCTTTTCTTTGTTTCCCATTCTGAGAAAGAACTAAATCCACCAGGGCAGTAAGATGGCCAGCTGGTACGTGGAGTGCCTCTTCAGCCAGAAAATAGCTTTGTGGTTAGTCTTGGGCCTCGGAGTCTAACACCCAGGATTGCTTGGCTTCATTACTTATAAGTGATGAACTGAGGCTCAGTTTCTCTATGTGAAAAATGGGGACATGAATACCTACTTTACAAAGTTATTGAGGATTCCACAAGATGTTACGGGCCAAGTGCTCAGCACAGCATCTGAAGCATAACAAGTGCTCAAAATACGGCCATATTTGGGACCTACTTCCTACTTTTATTCCCACCTACTCTTATTTTGACTGATTGCTTGACTAGTTTTTTTTTTTTTTTTTTTAGCCTCAGTTTCTTCCAGTTCATTGTATGGATTTGTTGTCACAACCATGGAAAAGTTGTACTTTACTTTTTCCTCTCTGGCTTGTGATTTCCGTATACTGATCTCAGGTTTAAGTCTTAAATTAAACCCTCCCTCTACTACTTAGTTCCTGACTCAAATGCCGAATATTTTGGGGTAATGTGTTCTCTATTCTTGACCTAGATTTAGTTTGTGGGCCATTATACAGTTGGAAAACTACTGGTTTTAGTCATATAGTCCTGATTTAAGTCTTAGTTGTTTCTTACCAGCTGTGACATTTCAGGCAAGTTGGTTGGTGCTGAGTAAACACTATTCTCTAACATAGGGATGACATGCGCAACTGCAGGTGTTCAATGTAAGTAAGAAGAACTAGCTTCTATGTGAAGCTCCTAGCAGAGGGCTAGAGGCACAATAAATGCTTCTCCCCACTTTTCCCTCTCTAAGTCACAGCTGTAAAAATGTAGTCCTGTGTGCCCCAATTACATGGTTTTCCTTTTCCTCATGACCACTGTCTTCTGTTTGTATGAATGAGACATACTAATATGCAGACTGATGCATTAAAATGCTACCTTATTAATTCAGGATAAACCCCCCTTATTAGGAATTCATGATCATTCTGTCTAGAGCCCAGACTGAAATTTACTTTGTCAACTAATCTTATGGGAGAGAGACAGGGAGGCCAAGGTAGAAAGGAGAGGCATGATCTGAACCACTTTGTGACCAGGACTACTGTATGAGGTGCATGATGCTGGATTTGCTTCATATTTAATATGTAACTGACATAATGGGCTGTCAGGAGGGAAAATTGCATATTACCATTTTAATGTCTTATGGCATTCATATAAACTTGAGAGGGGGACTAGATGATTTCCTAAATATAAACATATCCATAAAACACATAATTTGGTAATTATCCAAGATCAATTGTGTCTGGCTATTCTCTATGTTTTCAGGTATGTCAGATACCCTTACAAACTGCTCAGTTTATACGAACTTCACATTTCCCCATTTAAGCCCTGAAGCTAAACACTTGAGTTTGTCATTAATTTTATAAAAGCTTTCCATGGTTTCCTGCTAAGAAAAGAAAGTGGTGTTTTCGCCACAAAAATCTATACAGTATACATTTAACAATTTTAGGAGTGTGTAACAGAGAATAGTATGGGGGAGTTCAAGATTCGAATTAAAATTCAGCCTGATATAAGTATAGTTTTGGAATGCACCTCAGATTCCCAGTATATATGCTTTATTAAAGAAGAAAAGATAAATAAATTTGAAGACATAAAGCCTTCAATATCATCTCCCGCCATCAAGTCTCCTAGGAATTCTTTATTATGGGAAACCCATTTAGTTCTGTTTACCTGTTCTGGGCAATGTTGAACCAGCAGATATAAAAATCATGAGTTCCCTCAGCATCTCCTTATTTTTACTAAAGAAACTGGTATCAGTGCATATGGGGGAATCGGGGGTAAGGGCAAGAGAACTATCCACACTAAATTAGACCAAGTCCTGCAGAGATGCCAGACCAAAATTATTCTAGACCTCCAGATGGTGATTCTGAATCACCAATCTTTAAAGAAACATTTTTTCCCTCCAAGCTAATCCCTTTTGAGTAATAATAATAATAATAATAATAAACTCTATTTGCAAGCAAGGTGAGAGTGAAAGAACTGAGGTGAAGAAAGCATTTTCAATTGTACTTAGAATGCATCAGAAGTAGTTACATTTCCCTTTTCAATAAATAGAAAGGGAGAAAGTATGGTTTTTCCCAGCAAAGTGCTGGGGATATAAAATGCTTCCCCCCATGCCATCAATGGTAAAAACCGTAATAAACAAAAGAAAATGCCTTGGAAAATGAATACAGAGATAGAAAGCAAACACCAAGTAAAGGGTTGACTATGGTGTCCTTAGCAAACAAACAAATAATTGAATAAATAGAAACCACATGAGAGAAAAGAGGCACTCTAATATTGTTTGCAAAAAAAAGGAAATGATTCCTTTTTGCCGAATGAGAAACACTGACAATTAAACATTGCATTTGTTTTTATATACATGGAATCAATTCAATTTTTCATTAATTAAATGAACAAGTTAGGGAATGCCTGTTTTAAGAAACTGCTCCAAAAATAACCGTGAAAATTCAGGTTACAGATACACTATATGCCCTGAGGGCAGGAGAAAGCAAAAGGGAAAATAAGAAATTAGAAAGTGACCTATAATAACCACTTCACTGTTAAAGGTGATAATCACATTCATTATCAGTCAGGACCTGGTTTGATATCTAATTTCACTGGCTAATTTATCAAATTAAATTAAATACAAATGAGAAAATACTTGGCCAAGGAAAAAAGTACTCTATCATTTTGCTTTCTGTCAGCTGAAAATCAACTCATTAGCACTGACATACTGGAAAAGTATGCTCCAGTATTTTGCTGAAGAAACATGTAAAAGGGATTTTTTCCCCCAAATTGGGCTGGGAAAGATATTGTTGATGAAAAATTTTGGATTTCCTGGTGCTTGCTCTATCTTCAGAATGGAGAAATGGCTGAGGTTTTTCCCCATCATTTATTGCACCAGTATTTAAGTGCTCATTCTGTGTAAGTTCAAATATGTGCTTTATGGGTGGAATGAAGTCTCACAGATTTGCAACTGCAGGCTCTTGAGGGTCTAATGCATCAGTGCCCCCGCTTTTCATGGTCCACAGATCAACAGGAAAGTTGTAACATGGTCCACTACTCTCTGCAGACATTTGAAGACAACAATTCCTCAACGGGAAACACACTAAATTTGCATTCAGTGCTGCTCCAATTCTCTGTGTTTCCCATACACACTTGGCACTACTAACAATAGAGACACCTTCTGATCTGCCCTGTGCTAAAATTTATCCTGAGTAAATAGGAACTTAAGGATGTACTGCATTTTTGAAGCAGGGGCACCAGACGTTATTCAGAACTGTAAAAGAGGGGCCCTGCACCGGAACTTAAAAGGCTGCTGGGCCTAGAAAAATAGATGGAGTGCAGAGTGCTGAAGCAGCAGGAGTCTGACCTGGGTAAGCTGCAAGACCTCCCTGGGCCCAGGTTTTTCTCACCAATAAATGAAGGCTTTGGCAAGGAATGCTTTGAGCTCAGGTACTTCTTACTTTTCTGTTGCAGCTCATTTGTTTCAAGATCTGAAATTCTGTTCGCCAAGACCCCTTATGAATGGGAAGAAAGTGATAATTTTTTTTAAGTGATTCACAAAACCAGGATATTGCCAAAGAAAAAAATCCATCAGCCTATATTACCTGGATTTTCTTTCTGCCAATTTTTCTTTGCTTTTGCTTGTCTAGCACCTGTCTGATGGAATGGTGTGTTTGAAAGAACCTTTCTTTATTTCTTTGACTTATCAATCTAAATTTTCAAATGGGTTCTTCTTTACCTATACTTTAAAATCCCATTCCTCTACCCTTTGTGGAACTGGCCTTCTACCTAAACCTCGTTCCATCTGCTCTAAATGTTACACACGTTTCCTCTGTAATCTTGAAACAATTCTCCAAAACTGTCTATATATATTTGGATGAAAAGTGTCAACTGTACAGAAGCTTTGTTTTCTATGAATCATTTACTTGTCTCAGCAGATATCGCCACACAAATATAGACTAATAATGGGTCAAAGCATATAGACAACTGTTAAAAAGAAATAACATGTAATACATTTTGGGACACTCCATAGATGCTTTTGTACTTTGATGAAAAATGTGGATACTACAAAAGAAAATCAGGTTTTAACAAAACTCTTATGGAAAAAGAACTATATACCCAATAGAGTCATATATATATACACACACACATTATGTGTATGTGACAAGTTGGGATGTGTGTGTATATAAATTTATTGGTAAATATATATGTATATATATTTACCTTTACACATGGGATATAACAATATACCTTTTTTTCTTCATGTGAACTACCCTCCCACTGCCCATTAGGTGCTAGTCAGTACTATTTAAAATACAGAAATCCTGTTGATTAAAATATCTTAATTAAAATAGACATTTCTTCCCTTAGAAAAAGAATTAAAACTTTTTAGGGCCTAGCTTTCAAAAGCAACATGCTACATCTGATTTATTTTGGTGGTGGTTTTTATGGGTGTGAAAAATATTACCACTGCAACTAGCAACAACTATAAATGATACATTATTGCAAGTGTTCTAAAAAACCAGAACAAAACTAATTTATTATAGTTCTGTCTTCATTATACACCATGAGTTGGTGAGTTAAACACAACAAAATTGTCTTTTCTTTTAAAAGTATCTACTAAAGATAAAAAGAATAAGATAACAATTAACATGTAGTTTGTTACATTAAAAAATCTGATATACATATTTCTATTGCCTGTTAGCTTGTTCTAAGCCTCTTTAACTATTACATAAAAAAGGAAAGAAAAAGGAAATTCATTGTTTAAAGGCAAACATTCAATTCAGTTGATACAACATTACAGTACAGTCAACTAACATCATTCAATGAAGGTAACAAGTCTAGCCTTAGCTTCTTGAGTTAAGAGTCTGTAGACCAGATTGCTACAAAAGTTTCAATGCTGCTTCAAAACTGTATGTTAGCTTTTTGGAGGACAAGGTACTTTCTACTGATGGCTTCAGAAGGGGTCATGCTACTGGTAAAAGCACAGGGGAACCCCAACCTGTCATTAATCATTTTATTGAGCACTGTAGTTAGAACAGCATTATTGAGTTTAGCACAACAACTAAAATAAAATAATAATATAATAATAATCATAATAATGATAAGAATAAAAACCAAACACCAACTGGAAGCCTAGAGTTGCTGCCAGCTGTGTCAAACCCTTGCGATACGCTATACTAAAAGAATTTGAAATATCCACCCGTCCTCTCCACTCTGCCACAAACTAGCAAAGTCAAAAATACAAAAGTCTTCAACTTGTTACTTTTGCAGAATAAAGCAAAAACGTCTTTGTGCTCCTTACTACCAGAAGCAAAATATCCTCTGAGTTACCACATGTAATAGCTTCTGGATGTGTCAACCTGGGTTGGCTTGGTGTCTGCAGAACCATCTTTGTCTTTCTCGCTGTCACCTTCCCAGAGGTTAATGAGTGGTGGGTACAGCTCATTTAGTGGGATTGAAGAGGTTTTTTGCATATACTTTTTTAATGAGTGGTGGTAGTTTTTTCTCTTAAATCTTTTGACAAAGTACACAGCAATGGACGCAAGGCTAATGACAGCAAACATGGACCCCATTACTGCAGCAAGGGCTGTACTGGTTTCTTGATCAGAGATGTCCAGTGCGAAGGCGGCATTTTTGGTTGTGACATTTACACATGACTTTTGAGTCTGCTGATGAATATTGGACACTGTGAGACATACTTCATAATCTGTGGAAGGCTGTAGATGTGTTAGGTTGTATTCGTGGACATCTACTGGGACCCTGGCAGTATATGTTATGTGGGGGTTATCAATCTTCATGGTGGCAGATGACCATTTTAAGTTTGACGTCATGACATTAGAATTAACTTTCCAGGAAACTAAGATGGAATGGGATTCTGTCTGCTTGACATATATTTTTAGCACCTGGGTACCATCCAGAAGGGTCCCATTAACCTTAATTGTTGCCACCCTAGTGTCTGCCCCTTGGACATTCTGGGCAACACAGGTGTATCTTCCTGAGTCTTCAATTTGTATGTTAGATATTTCCAAGGTACCTTCGCTACTTAGCTTGTATTTATCTGAAAGGGTTTCCACAGTTATCTTATTTCCAATGGGAGTGACCCAGTAAATTTCAGGTTCTGGCTCAGCCATGGCCCGACAGTCTAGAAAAACTGTTGTGCCGATATCCATGTTTAAACGATTTGGGAAGGTGTCGTGAGATATCATTGGGAGGCACTGTTCACTCGAATCCTGGATTAAAACTTCCTTCACCTGATGCCCTTTATATTCGGGCGGCATGGCACAGAACATGGATAGGGGCTCCATGAAGCGGATGTTGGTTTTGTTGGAGTTAATCCAGTGGATCACACAGTCACACCTCAAGGGATTGCTGTGGATACTGATCTCACGCAGATTGGGGAGGGATTCGACTGTCTTTTGGTAAATGGCATTCAAAGCATTGTTGTTCAACATCAAGCTTTCCAGAGCAGGGACGCTTCGGAAAGCCAAGCGGTGGATGTAAGAGAGTTTAGGGTTATTGGTGGCTTCCAGCTTTGTGAGTTCAGGCAAGTTATCCAGAGCATAGCGATCGACAGAAACGAGTTCTCCCATATTGTTGATTCCCAGCTCTTTTAGCCGAAGCATATTTTTGAAGTCTCCTTCTTGGATTTTGTGAATGGGGTTTTTGTTGAGATCTAAGAATTTCAAATTTGGAACTTTTTGCAGGGCAAGTTGAGGGACTTTTACCAGTTTGTTATCGTAAAAAGATAGGCTCTCAAGGCTATCCAGGCCCACTAAAGCATTTCCAGGAATATCAGTGAGATACATTCCTGCCAAAACTAAGCTTCTCAAATTTGCAAGGGGTTTGAAGTTCATATCCAGGATTCCAATCACAGGGTTTTCTCCAATCATGAGAATTTCCAGATTGGGTGTAGAATCAAACCAGCGACTATCAATAACTTTCAATTTGTTGGAGTTCAGGTGGAGCCTTAAAAGATTTTTTAAGCCTGCAAAAGCATTAGCAGAAATAGTGCTAATTTGGTTGTGGTTGATGTAGAGTTCTTGAAGGTTGCTGAGGTCTTGTAGACAGTAATCAGTCATCTCTGTAATCTGATTTTCCTCCAAATGCAGAGTTGTGAGCTGGGTTAGGTTTGCCAGCCCGACCTCCTTAATGTTAGTAAAGTTGTTTTGGGAGAAATCTAGCTCAGTCAAGTTGAAAAGCTGCTGCAGCTCATCCACAGTCTTTGCAATGTTATTGCTCTGTAAGAGAAGCACTTGTGTGTCACTAGAGAGGTTACTGGGAATCCTTGTTAAGCGGAGGTCATTGCAATCAACAGTAGTGGCTTCTCTGTAAGTTGACTGTGGGGTAAACCAGGGACGAATTTCACATACGCAAAGTTGTGGACACTCACTATTCTGTATGGAAGACACAGTTAATGAAGTCATTAGCAGGCCTAGCACCAACCGGCAAGCTGCTACAATAAAGCTCATCCTAGCCATGCTGGCTTGCTGAGCAAGCTAAATTCCTGACACCCCTAAGTTTTAACAAAATGTGAACACTATATTGTGATATGTAGGGCAGCGAGCAGAAAATGTAAACATTCAAGCAAAGTCTTGGTTGAGCTGTGTAGAATTCCAGTCCAAAGGGATGGTTTTGGGGAGTTTTCAAAGGCAGAAAGCAATGTGGAGTCTTTTAACTATGTCTCTCAATTCCAGGCATGTGTACAGGGCCGTGGCATGAGTCACTTCAGCCAAATCGAAGTCTGGAGATGTGCCTGAAAATTAGATTAGGACAGATGTTATGCTTATTCCATAAACTTTCTACATTATAGCCTTTCTTTTGTTTACTAAAAAGGCACAGTCACTCGCAAATCTAGGATCAGAAACATTCAAAATTCATTCAAAATAACCAAACAGGCATTTAAATTGTAGAACATTCTTACTATATCCCACTTATTATACTAAACCTAGTTTTAGAACTCCTTCACTTTTACAATTGAGACTCCACACATACTATTAGTCATATATGACTGTGTACATTTCTATGTATGCACACGTACAGTCACTAAACATGCGCTCACACACACAAATGCACATACTCATACACACTTACTATGAATACTAAAAGCCTACGGATGCCATTTCTTTAAAAATAAAGATGTCTTTAGAAACTCTATCTTTAGATATAAAATATATTTATAGCTCCAAAAACTTAAAACGTTTATGCCTAGTAAAAGCAAAACATTAAAGGTATTTTAATACTCAAAGCTAATTTTTAGTTATTTACATTTTAGTTAGTACCTCATTTGTCTCCAGGAATTCTTTCTAAAAGGTACATTCTATAGATATATTCAGCCAATGCTTTTCTAACTCAATTATTCTTATTCAAAAAGGTAATTTAATATTCTACAAGGTGGATGAAAACATAAAAAACATGCTTGAAAGATGCCAGTAATAAAAGATGACATAGTGTATTATTCCATATATAAAGTATCCAAAATAGAACAACTTGTAGCGACAAAAAGTAATTTAGCAGTTGCCTATGGCCAGAGGATGCGGGGCACAGTGGGAGGGGTGCTAAAGGCTACAAAGTACCTTTTTGAGATGATGAAAACATTCTAAAGATTGTGGTGATGGTTGCACAATTCTGTGAATATTCTAAAAGCTGTTGACTCAAACAATTTAATGAGCAAATTGTTATGTGAATTATATCTTGACAAAGCTATTATTTTTAAAGTTAATTTAACATAACTAAAAAAGGAAAACATCACTTTTTCCTATATTTGAATAGCCACATCAGATCTTGACTGAATAACAAAAGGACTTCATTCTGTCATACCACTGGTCTCTATTAAAAACACAAACATACACAATAGATGTATTTGTATCTCACATAGATGATTCCATTAATCACATGAGTATGTCAGGCATTGCTTAACAGCTGTTGTCCGTGAACATGCTTATATAACCTCTTGAAGCCTGAAGTGTCTTCAGCTACAAAATGGGGTTGCTCATACAAATAGAGCTCTCACAGGATTATTGAGAAAATAAAAGGAATCTAGGTAAAGTTCTTAGTGTAGTAGCTAACTCACATTATATGCTCACAAAAATTAATGTTTGTTATTCATCATATTATATCTCTAATCCATTTGGGTTTTATCTAAATAGTGGTTGTCAGAGGACAAGTGAAAGCACGAAAGCTAAGGAAACCGGTTTTTATTAACCATCATCAATTGGTTTCAATAAAATCCTCTGAGGTCAGATATGTACTACTCACCTGCTTATAAAGACAATATTAGTAGTTAATGGTTCTATTTTTCTGCATTGCAATCAGGTGTAAAAAGCCATTATGGAGCCAGTGTTTGTCTTGGTTTCCCAAACTCGGCCATTTACTTGCTGAAGTATTCAAAGCAGAGTTATGTGTTTTCTGCTGTTTGTCTTGCTATAGTGCACTTGAGTCTTGAGAACTGAAGGAACTTCAGTGACTAGTGTTTTCTTTAACTTTCTAAGATTACTATAAGGAGCTAATAAAATAGAGTGTATGTGTTTAAATCCAGTGCTCAACACATAGCAAGCTCTGAATTCATGCTAGCTGCTATTAGTAACCTTTTCACTTTGTAAAACAGTTATCTTTGTGACTAAGAAGTATAAGAATATAAGTAGCCAGTACTATACACTTGGCATTCCTCCTCTTCCCCATCTCCAAGTCTGGTTACTTTACGGTTTATTATGTAGTCTTGTGCCACCATAGGGAAATTTTGGCCATTGGTGGGTCACATATACAATGGTAGTCCCATAAGATTATATTAATAGTACCATATTTTTACTATACTTTTATGTTTCAATTCACAAATACTTGACATTGTGTTATAATTTCATATTGCCTTCAGGAAAGTAACATGCTATATAGGTTTCCAGCTTAGGAGCAATAATGTATATGATATAGGCTACATATATCATATAGGCTGTATACCACCTAAATTTATGTAAGTACACTCCATGACATTCACACAATGATTGAATCACCTAATGACACAGCTCCCAGATCATATCTCTATCATTAAGTGACATGCTTGTATTTGCCAAACTTTTCAATATTATAAAAATAGCTGACTCTGGCTTTTATCTGGATATTCTATAAAATGAAAACATACTGGCCAGGCACAGTGGCTCATGCCTGAAATCCCAGCACTTTGGAAGGTAGAGGTGGGCAGATCACAAGGTCAGGAGTTCAAGACTAGCCTGACCAAATGGTGAAACCCTGTCTCTACTAAAAATACAAAAATTAGCTGGGCATGGTGGCGCATGCCTGTAATCCCAGCTACTGAGGAGGCTGAGACAGAAAAATCGCTTGAACCCAGGAGACGGAGGTTGCAGTGAGCCAAGATCATGCCACTGTACTGCAGCCTGGGTGACAGAGTGAGATTCGGTCTTAAAAAAGAAAAGAAGGAAAGAAAGAAAACATACCACAGAGAATAACATTTTTATTATTAACACCACAAATTTATTTCACTCTTGTTTCTGTTTAGAGTAATCCTGAAACAGGTGCAGTGGCCACAATAAACTGTTAAGAAAACTTATGCCACAGGTTATTTCTCAATCATAACTCAAAGTAGAAAACCAAAAGAATAAACCTACCTTTCAAAACTGAGATAGAATTTCAACTAGTTTTTATGTTTTGTTTGAACGTAAGGAAATGTACCGAGAAGTAAAATATATATCAAAGTTGTATGAGAGACTTCCAAAACAATCTATTAGTATTAAGAAATTGCCTTTATGGGGCTATAGTTTGAACATTATTATAGCTAATACCCACATTTTAGTTTAAATTATATGATTTGAGACAATTGTGTTGAAATGTTCAATTTTTTCTTTGACATACATACATACCTTTTCCAACCAACCAACCAACCAACCACAGAAACCCAGAATGTTAGATAGCAGATCAAACACAGAGAAAAGACTTTTTTTTTCTCCTGCATTCTGTAAGAATGTATGTATAAGAATTTCCTCTCCACATTCTACGACACATTCCTTTGGCAGCAAGGAAGGAAACTTCTTTAGCACAAAAGGAGGTGTTTAAGATATTTCTATTTGTATTTAATTCTGAATTCTCTTTAGCAAGTTTCACCGACAAATTTTTGAACGTTATACACAAAACAACTTCATAGAGTCCTTAGACCAGTTTAAATATTTACAATGTAGGGCATTTCCCAGGAGCTACTCACTAAGAGTGTTTACAAGTAAATCTATTATCACAAGAAAATACAGACCAATATTACTAATGCATATTGATGCAAAACTTTCCAACAAAATGTAGCAAAACAAGTTCAAAAGTAAAGATGATATGTTATGAGCAAGTTGGATTTATACTGGAAATGCGAGGAAGGTTCCATATGTGAAAACCAATCAGTATAATATACCACATTAACAGAATGAAGAAGTAAAAACACATGGTCATCTCAATTGATGCACAAAGCTATTTGAAAAAATTCAATACTTTTTCATGATAAAAACACTCAACAAATGAGGAATAGAAGGAAAGTGCCCACACATAATAAAAGTCATGTATCAAAAGCCCAGTTAAAATCATACTCAATAGTGTAAAACTCAAGTTTCTCCTCTAAGAATGGTAACAAGCAAAGAATGCCTATTATTGCCATTTCTATTCAACATGGTACTGGAAGCCCTAGTCACAGCAATCAGACAAGAAAAATAAATAAAAGGCATTCAAATGGAAAAGAAATAAAATTATGTGTTCCCAGATTACATAATCTTATATATAGAAAATCCTAAAGATTCCACCAAAGAAACTGCTAAAACTAATAAATGATGTCAGCAAATTTGCAGGATACAAAATTAACACACCAATGAGTTGTATTTCCATAAACTAAGAATGACTAATCTGAAAAGGAAATTAAGAAAACAATATTTACAAAGGTATCAGAAATAATACACTGCTTAGGAATAAACTGAGAAGGCAAAAGACTTGTACAATGAAAATTATAGAAAATAACCAAAATAAATCAAGGATGATATAAAAAAAGTGGTGAAACATCCCATGTTTATAGACTGGAAAACTTAATATTGTTATAATGTCTATAATACCCAAAACAATCTATAGAATGAATGCAATCTCTATCAAAATCTCAATGGTAATTTCTACAGAAAAAAAATTCTAAAACTCATATGAAATCAAGGGATTTTAAATTGCCAAAGTCATCTTGAAAAAGATCATTAGATATTTGTATCCCATGTGAGTGCTCACCAATGGGTGACCTCAGCAGAGAATTTTAATAATCAAGTGGATAGGATGACCTGTTCTGTGGACATCACTCAGATGCTTTCCCCAGCCATGCTTTTGTCACTCAGTGAGCCCCATGAACAAAGTGGCCATGGTGGCAGGAATGGAGCTTATACATGGACTCAGCAACATGGACTTTTGCTCATCAAGGCTGACCTGACTCCAGCACTGCTGAGTGCCCAATTTGCCAGCAGCAGAGACCAACACTGGGCCCTCGATAAGGCACCATTCCTTGGGATGATCAGCCAGCTATCTGGTGATAAGTCGATTATATTGAAACTCTTCCATCATGGAAAGAGCAGAGGTTTGTCTTCACTGGAATAGACCCTTACTCTGGATATGAGTTTGCCTATCCTGCACTGAACGCTTGTGCCAAGACTACCATCGGTGGATTCATGGAATGCCCACCGTCATAGTATTCCATTCAGCATTGCCTCTGACCAAGACACTGACTTTATGGCTAAGGAAGTG